CTCCATTGCAATGTCTGTGTGTGGGTATATTTTTATTTCTCCTGCTGTGTGAACTGTGGGTTTCCCTAATCAGAATACTTATATTATGTCTTATGTCTTTATAATTCTGTAAAGTTTTAGCTATTGCTAACTCTTTTAGACTCTCTCTTTATTCTTTTTATAGCATTTTCTTCTGAAATTCTTTTTTAAAATATATTTCATTGATTTTTTTATAGAGAGGCATAGAGAGTTAGAAACATCAATGAGAGAGAAACATCATTCAGCTGCCTCCTACACACCCCCTTGACTGGAATCAAACCTGGGACCCTTCAGTCTGTAGGCCAATGCTCTATCCACTGAGCCAAACAGGTTGGGGCTGAAATTCTTATTAGGCATGTTGGTATTTCTCAGCCTCCATGTCAATTTCTTTCATTTCTCTATCACTTGGTCTTTCTATTTTCATCCTAGAAAATTTCCTCAATTCTCTCTATTATTTGGAAAAGTCTTTGGTTGTGTTAGCCTAATAGTTAGCCCACTGCCAAGATTCCCATTACCCTCCTTTACTTCTTTGATGATTTCAAAGTTATTGATTTAAAAACATATACAAAAACATCTTTTTAAACTTTTCTATTATATCTATTTCCTTGAATGAAGATTATTCAATTTCTTTGATTTCACTCATCTGTTGGGGGCTAACTTCCTGTGCCTTTTTCCTTGAAGGCCATATTATGATTGCTTCAGCCCACAATTATCCATGTCTGGACCCACAGGGAGCCTTATGTTAGCAGCTCAGGTCCATTCTTGGTGCCTGTACCGACAAAACTCTGGGAACCAGGCTCAGGTGAGAATCTTGACTTAGGCCTTTGGCTTTAGGATAGCATCATGTTTCTAGAAGCCACCTGGGCAGTAGATCTCTATGAAGCATTGTCTGAGCCCAGTTTGAAACCCACACATTCCCATTTGAGAGCTTGGCTGGATCATCCATACATAGCTGGTTTCATCCCCTTGGTGACCAGAGGGCTCCAGCCTCCACTTATATCTGTAATCTCCATTCCATTCAGGTCCTTTGATTTTGGGGATAATATTTAGTGCAGGTCTGTATTTATTTCGAAATAAATAAATATATGGTTTTTTTAATGTGTTTGGAGTTAAATGGTATATTATACATAAACTCTCCTTTATCATGGAAGTATTTTTGATTTTTCAGACAGGGGAACTAAAGTCCAGAAAAGTGAGGCAGCTTTCCCACACCACAATCTAGTTATTGCCAATGCAGGCACACCTCATAGATATTGCAGGGTCAGTTCTACACCATTGTAATAAAATGAATATCGCAACAAAGCAAGTCACACAAAGGTTTTGGTTTCCCCATGCATATAAAAGTTATGTTTATACAATACTGTAATATATTGAGTATGAAATGACATATTTATTTTTAAAAAGCAATATATAGACCTTAATTATAAAATACTTTATTGCTAAACATTGCTAACCTTTATCTGAGCCTGTTGGGAAAATGGTGTCCATAGACTTGCAGAACTTGGGTTGCCACAAAACTTCAATTTTTAAAAAGCATACTATCTGAAAAATGCAATGAAGCGAAGCACAAAATCTAATGAGGTGTGCCTGAGTGATTATGAAGAATTTCTCTGCCTTAAACACACCGTACATTGTCTCTGTAACTCTAGATTGTTGATGCTCTAAAATGAGAAAATAACAGCTACCTTGCCTTTTTCAATTCATTACTGAGAACTGCAGAAATTGACATTGCAAATAAATGTGCAAGTATTTTGAAAATAAAAAAGCGTAGACTCTTATTAGCATTAGCATTTTTAAAGTTCCATTGTGATGGGGATTATAAGCAATGTCAATATTTACTTTCATTGCTAAGAAATTACTTCTGATTTTTTCCACAGTAGAGTTTGTTCTTTTCATGTACCATTTCTATCCTCAGAGTCATTTTTGATATTAAATAAAATATGACCTCTTGGATAGAAGGTAATGTATGAAGGTCAACTCACAGAGACTAAGGAACAAATTTTACTTTCATACATTTAACAAACATTTGTTAAGTGCCAATGTGTCCATGCTCTTGGATTGTGCTTGCAATGTAGTAAGTAGATCTTTTCGTAAGAAATAGACTTTTTATTTTATATTTATGGAAAACTTTACATTATAGTAATATTCCAATGAGAGAGTTCCCATTTATCCTACACCTACTTTCCCTTAAAGCTAACATCTTATATCAATATGGTACATTTGTCACAATTAATAAACCAATACTGATACTTTTTTAATACTTTTATTCATATAGTTTTAGTTCTTACCTTGTTCTCTTCTAGGTTCCCATCCAGGATACATCACATTAGTCATTACATCTTTTTAGGCTCCTCTTGCCTGTGACAAAAAGTCCAATTTTCTGCTTTTAGATGACCTTGATGGTTTGAGGACTACTGGTCAGGATTTGTCTTATGTTCCCCTTATAATTAGAGCAGAATTGTGGCTTTGTTGAGGTAGATCACAGAGGTAAAGTGCAATTCTTATTACTTCATATTAAGGGTACATGCTACCCACAGACATCACTTTCTTTATGTTTGCAATAATATTTGAGAGACTTATCACCGGGAAAGCTACTCTTTTTCCTTTGCCCATACTGCATGCCGTCTCTTGGGAAGGAAATCACTATGAGCAGCCTGCACTTAGGGAGTGGGGAGTTACATTCCACCTTCGCCAGGGCTGATTCTCTACACAGTTATTTGAAATTCTTCTGCTTGGGAGATTTGTCTACTCTCCTTATTTATTCATTATTTAATTACTTATTTATATCAGTATGTATTTGAAGAGGTAGAGAATATGCCCCTTTGGCACATTGATTATTTTGAGCCGAAGGCACTTAAGAAACAGCAGATTCAGAAAGAACTCTCTGACCTTTTTCTACCTAAAACCTGGTCCTAAAATGTCCCATAAAAAGATGCCTCTCAGTACCAGGATAAATTATTATCACCAGAGTACAAATCAGCTCTAACCTGGACCATAAACAATCCTATAAAATCACTCTGATTTCCCATTAGTTCCCTCCATCTATTTCCTAGTCACTGTCCCACAAAGTGATGCCTCTAATCTAAGCCCCCTTGTCTGGTCACATCCCCACAATTTAACATTTTTTGTTCAAAAAGGTATTAAGACTTAGGACTGAACATCTTTAGGTCTTCATTTTCCTGCTGAAGACTCCTATATACATGTAAAAATATTAAATGGAAATTGTGTGTTTTTCTGCCGTACGTCAGTTGAATTCTTAGCCCCAGCTGCAGAACCTGAGAGAGAAGTTTTTTCTCCCCTACAGACTACTGGATATTTATTTTTATCTTACTATTTTATTTGCTGTCCAAATTGTTTCAGCTTTGGCTATTGGGAGCTCTTGCCTCTTGTGTTTCTTTGACAGACCTGCTGTGTGTGTGTGTGTGTGTGTGTGTGTGTGTGTGTGTGTGTGTGTGTGTTTTCTCACTTTTTTGGTGCTTGCTGCAAAAAATATATAAGATAATTCATCATATATTTCTGTCCAGTCCTAGAATTCCCTATTTCTCCAAGGAGCCCTGATTGCTTTTAGTAAAAAAATCATTGACTAAAAGGAAACACATAGAATCCACTATGATTAGACATCAATTTATCTGTACATTCCCACCTATAAAATACTCGGTTTTTGTACTTTAAGTCTCACAGGAATGCCGAAAGCAAGGTGAATGTCCTCACAAAGCCATTAGATTTCTTTAAAAGGGATGACTTTCAAATGGGGATGTATACCTCTTGGAGAAAATTCAGAAATTCTACAGAAATAATAGAAAGTTTTACCTTCATTTACCAATCTCTTCTAAACATGGGTCAAAATTGAATCAGCAAATGGAAATATCTAAAATACAAAGGTGAATTATTTTGGAATATACTAAATTTCAAGGAATAGAACCCATTTTCTTTAGTCAGAACACCTCAGCAATACCTCAGCAGTTATTAATAAGCTATTGTTACTGGTGTGAACAAAGATCCTAAAAATGTTTATTATTGCAGTGTATCTTTTTATGTGTGTCAGGACTCCAAAGCCTAGTTTTATTTGTAAGGTTCCCCAACACAGTGGTTGCTATAGATATAGGAAAAGCCCAAAGGACAGCATGTTGAGCCTTTGGAAAAACAGTTTCATTTCCAAAAGCAAGGGTAGACATTGAGGTTGAAAGGGAGTTAATTCTTAGGAAAAACTTATAGCTGATGTAAGGTTTTCAGAATGAAATCTAAGACTTCAGGGAAATTTGGGGACCAACTATATGACGTTCAAAGGAAACAGTGAATATGAGTGAGCTTTAGCTTTTTAACCCTATGAGTAAGGCAAATAAATATGTGCAAACTATTCTACTCAATGTTGTATACTAGAAGACAATTTTTGTTTCTTTTTTGTGATAATGATGAAGAAGAGGAGAATGACATGAAGATGAAAGCTGGGGTTCTAGGTGTCTGAGCTTTAAGTTGTTTTAATTCACAAATAACCACAGTAATGAAACTTGGCTTCAGCCTGGTCCTCTCTCAAGGAGAAAGGGACCAGATGCTTTTGGAAGCTTTCTCTTGACTTTTCCTTGGAACCTGCCTCTCTCATCTGAATTTCGTGGCAAAATGTGCTCAGGTACCAACCTTCAGGATAGCCATTCATTTCTCAAATGGAGTTTTCCACCCTAGGAAGGCCAGGTGTATGAGCCCTTCTTATCTCTCATCAGCTCAAAGACAAAAAAAAAATGTCTTATGAATATAAGATTTGTAAAAATTTAACCTCTCAGTAATGTGTAAGGAAAAAAAAAAAAAGGAGGAAGCAATGTGGCAAAGGGGAGGCCAAGCAGAACCAGGGTTACCACAGGAAAAATGATCTTCCAATGGTTCTTGCTGGCTACTTCATATTCTCCAATGGGAAAAAGGCCTGGTGCTCACGTATCAGTAAACCATTGAAGGAGAACAAAATGCTAATGAGAGCAATTCAAGGGGAGGGACTTCAAAAGCTAGAATAACAGACCCACTTTAGTGTTCTGGCACTGCAAACAAGGGTGGAAGGACTGAGGAAGCCAGGACAGCCAACAACTGGACATCCATGTGTCCTCCACATTGGCTGCCTTCCTTGCCTTGATAACCTGAGAAGGATCCCAATTCTTATTCAGAGTTGTCTCTTTGGTGACATTGGCTATTCAGAACTGTCATTTCAGGGCTCAAGAGGAACTGTGGGGTAAGCCATAGCTTTTTCTCTGACTTTTGATTGCTTTTGTTAACATTTGAAAATTCTTTTCTACCATTCATGGGGGAAATTATTGACTTCTAAACTTCTTTTTATCTTCTTCCTCCTCCATCAAAATTAAAATGCAACATTGTATATATACACACATAGATCTATATAATCATTTTCCTAGTAGTAAAACGTTTGATACGTGTTAGCCATAATACAGATGATTTAAAAGCCTTTTGAAGATGGGTCCTATTTTCAGTGGTATGGAATGATATAGCTGTTATTTCATAAAGAGCATCTTTCTATTAGTTTACTTGCAATTCCCCTTAGTGCCTCAACTCCAACCCCAATTTAGATTTCAGAGTTCAAAAGATCATCATAAAATGTAGCCTTGCACAAGGAGATGGTCTAATTATTCAGCTTTGCTCTACCAGCTTAATAAATTATGCAACGATGCCCGCAGTATTTTTCCTGAGAGAATGTGTGTATCAAACACTCCTGCCAGTCTGTATAGATGCCAGAGCGAATGGTTAGTGCCATAATCTGAGAGTTGGTTTTACATCACTTGAAGAGTGAGTTAACAATTATTTTTGTTGTTTTTGTTGTTGAGAATATGCATTATCCTGAAGGAACTTACCTGCATATAGAACATTCTATAGTGATAATTATATATTTAATAATGTTAAATAAAGGATATGCTGTCAATGAACTACTTTGTATAATTTCAGAGTGGTAATGAAAAAGCTAAAGGGAATTCCCCAAGAGTTCAAAGGAGTTTATTTGAGACAGATGAATATCAGCCTTTGGAGGCTCCAGTCAATAGAACCAGAGGGTATATTTACAGCTGTATTTGTGCATAGGAGAGGATGTTCTAATAAAATCAATCCCAATTATTCAGGCTCACTGAATGGCTGTTAAAGGGGAACCTTCTGGTCTACCTCATGATTTGTGCTTCCTTCACTATGGTGTGATTATAGAGATGATGTGTGTTGACTGTGCAACCTTCTAACTGGTCTAATAGAGAATGGGATTTGGCAAACTCTGAGAAGCTTTATACTGTGGATGTTTAAATCTGAGATAAGGGTGGATTTAAAAGTAACAATGGTGGGCATGAAATCTTATTTTGTCATATAAATAACACTCTCAAAAGTAAAGTGGATATTGCAAATTTGTCATGAAAACCAAATGGCATTAGTAATAAAAGAAAGGTAGGTAAACAAATCATTGCCTCATATGCAGGTGAACTGGCTGTCAAGTAAATGTTTATTGAACATGTAAACCATGATTTTATATCAGTGAACCAAATTCAATTGACATATTTTTGTGAAATAAAAAGCAGCTTGTAATTTTAAACCTTTACTTGAGGTTTTAACAAAACCTTTCTAGGTAAGGTACTTTCCCATTTGCTTTTCAGAAACCCCCTCTGCCTTATATTCCATATATACATATATATATACACACATATACACACACACACACACACACACACACACACACACACACACACACACATATATATATATATATCATGAAGCAAGAATGATGTGAGATGAATGGGAAGTAAGGGGTAATTTGCTGAAAGAAGATATTCCTGGATCTTATAGCAGATATCTCAGTTTTGCTTACACTATCTAGAAAGGAGACATAAATATTGAGGCACAATTATTACCCTCACCTTGTTATGGAACTTGTGCCACTTGGTGCCGAGCATGAGGACCACCCATCTCAAAATCCTTTCCTCCAGCAATGCAGCCTCCCAGCAGCAGTGGGGACCAGCACCTTCCCCAGCAGTACCAGCTGTCAGCAGCACAGAGGGCCAGAGATCAGCATTACCATTCATCCACTGATGGATGATACCCTCAATCACTGGGCCAAAGGTGATTTAGGTAAAATGTGTACAAGTATGGGTTGCTTGATCTTTGAGCCCGTGAATGTAAAGGACAGCCTGGGATGTTCTTTTATAAATTACCTGACAGAGGATCTTTAACACTTCATGCAGTAAGTTACAGAACATTGTATTATAGTTACCTCTAAATTATCTGGGGATGATAGGAATAGAAAGAGCTGGACAGCAACATTTGTTGAACAGAGAAATATAGTGAGGACTGTTGGGTGTTAAACACGATGAAGGAAAAAGTTTGTTGCCTTTGTGGTGCTTATGAGTTCTTGATGGAAAATAGATCAAGTACCTGCCATTCAAAAACTTACAACTCAAGACTTCTCTGCTTGCATCAAAGCTAAAATCCTATCACTAGAAAAACATTTTGAGTTTAGAGATCTTTTCAATCTTTCACATAATAATTTAAAAAAGTGAAGATCTGGTAGAACATGGACCGCATTAGAGAGTGAAGCCTTTTAGAGTGGATTCCTGGCTGGACTCATTTTGTATACATTTATTATTTTTTCTCAAAAAAATACGAAGGGAGCACTTTGCATATGTGAATCCTAAAGATTGCAACAGAGGAATCTGCTTCAGAAACCATCCACTCTCGTGCAAGGAGACAGGCATGGGAAGAGGGGTACTTCCAGGGAAGAAGACGGAGAGAGGAAGTGGGAGATTATTGGTACTGATTTGGAGTTCAGCTCAAACAGAAGGATCTCTAATAGAGTATGAGATGGAAAATAACTTGAAGAGGCTGGTGGGGACTGGAAGGCCATGAAAATAGAGAAGCAACATGCATTGTTTCATTTGCATATGTGAAAGAGTGGTCATTCAAAACAGAATTAAAAAATATATATATATTTTATTGATTTTTTTACAGAGAGGAAGGGAGAGAGATAGAAAGCTAGAAACATCGATGAGAGAGAAACATCGATCAGCTGCCTATTGCACACCCCCTACAGGGATGTGCCCGCAACCAAGGTACATGCTCTTGACTAGAATCGAACCCAGGACCACTCAGTCTCCAGACCAACGCTCTTCCACTGAGCCCAACTGGTTTCGGCAGAATTGATCTTTATATTAAAACTATAGGCCAAATGCATGAAATTTGTGCAAAAGTAGGCCTTCCTTCCCCTAGCTGCCAGCACCAGCTTCACTCTGGAACCCAGGACCTGGGCTTTCCTCACAGCCCCAGATTCATCTGGAAAGTCATCCAGAAGAACATCCGAAAGGACGTCTGATCTAATTAACATTATTTTTATAGATTCAGGAGATAGTTTTTCTAATAGACTAGAAGGGGATAAAATCCAATGCCCCATGTAGCTGTTGTGCAGCTTAAGTTAGCCACTGGAGAACATAGTTCCCTGAGAGGCTGTATAACATGAGGGCATTGGATTAAACAAGTTCCAACGGTAACCCTTCAGGAATACCAGCACACACACACACACACACACACGCACATGCACACACACACTCATGCAGGCACGCACGCACACACTTTAAAAAAGACTTGTCTTTAATCCATCAAGGTTAACCTTAGTGTGCGATAAATTGTAAACAATTTTACTGCATTTTATTACAGCTTGAAAGTTCTATGATTATATTTTTATACACCTTTCTTGTTTATAATTGTATGTCTATGGCAATTCACTTATTATTTCCTAGGGGGTATCACTTTCCCTGACCTTGTGTGTTTTAAGGGAGGCTGACATATTATACTTTAAAGACAAACACAATCTGAGCAATTGAATGCCAGGGGCAGTTGCTGTGCAGGTGCTGGTTTGGGGAGTTCTGAGACTCAGGCCTCTTGAAGAGGGGGGGGGGAATTGCACATACATTGAGCTAAGAACCCCCAGAGGATGAAGACGTGATTCATTATCAGATCAATAATCTACAAACTGTGAATAAGCAGGAAATCAGAGTCTGTTGGCTTTTTAGTCCATTGTGGGAACAAGGGTTATTATGTGGACTCCAAGTGCGTTCTGGTCCAGTGAGTCAATAATTCCCATCATATCATGGAAAATGCATTGCCCCTATAGGCTGTGGAATGCCTGGGGAATGTTCTTCAGTAATCAGGCCTTATGCATAGAAGATTATGCATTAATTTTATAGTCTGTGCCAAGACCTAACTGGTAAATAATACACAGTCAGTTACATTATACCTGCAAGTGCCTAACTCTATGCTCTGGAGAAAAAGATAAGGCTTTACAGGTATTTCAAGTAGACTCGGGCAGGGGCGAAGTACAAAGATCCATGTGGCATTTACTGATGTGAATCTTTCTAGACTGTCATTGGAGGAAAGGAAAAGAAAAAAAAGAAGAGATGGAGGCATGAACAAAGGAAGAAGAAAGTAGGAAGGAAGGAAGGATGGAAAGAGGGAGAAAAAGAAATCTGATGGGGTGTGTGTGTGTGTGTGTGTGTGTGTGTGTGATTGCAAGTTCAAGATTGGAATCAACATCTAAAATAGAAAATTTAGCTATAACACTTAATTAGGTTACTAACAATAGCTTGAGCATCAGTCTTCAAACAATGAGAAGAATTGTTGTTAAGGCACTGACTCTGGTGAATGTAAATATGAATAGAGTTAGAACTGGGGCAGGGAGCAATCATATAGACACAAGAGAAATCAGACATTTCATAACAGAAAGTATTCTAGGGCAGTTGTAAAATCTCTGGTGTTGCCCCAAACAAACAAACAAATAAATAAGCAAACAAGCCAAAACATGTGGAAATGCCCACAATGTTTTCTTAGTAATAACTAACATTTGCAAAGCCCCTTATAATTTATGAGGCATTTTACAGCAATTACCACAGTTAATTCCCACAATAACCCTGTAAGTTTAAATATTAGACTTCCTAGTTTACAGTTGAGAGGACTGAGGCCCAGGGAGGTTAAGTGGCTTTTGGCAAGGCCACTCAGGAGCCAGCCATAAAACCAGAACCAAAGCCAGATCTTGTGACTATGGATTGCCCCACTATCTCAGCTGCTCTGCCTTCATATTCATGGATCCCACTTCAAACAGTTACTTCTGTAAGGTAGAGATCAGCTACCTGGAGGAAAGAGACCTGCCAATCACAAGTCCATGGGCACCCAAAGCTGTTCTTACAACACAGAACTTCAAAGTCTAGAATTTCAATATATATGATGCTATTATTTCTATGAATATATTGAAATATATTTAAAGGTAGAAATATATGTTGCTTCCCCCTACACACATATGCAATTCCCATCAGTATTTCTAACTTCAATATAATAAAACCTTGCTACCATAGTTAAAATTAAAAAGTAAAACCTCATGAGTTACTGAGCATCAAGTCATAAAATGTGACTGCTAGTGGGTATCCATTTTGAGAGGCATAAGATAGGGCTGAAGGTAGTGCAGGTGGACGACTGGGGTGGTTGCAATGTCCTGGCACCAACCATATTTGACAAACTGTGTCTCACGAGCCACATGCGGCTCTTTGGCCCCTTGAGTGTGGCTCTTCCACAAAATACCATGGGATGGGTGAGTCTATTTTGAAGAAATGGCGTTAGAAGAAGTTTAAGTTTAAAAAAATTGGCTCTCAAAAGAAATTTCCATCATTGTACTGTTGATATTTGACTGTTGACTAATGAGTTTGCCGATACATTGTCCTGGCAGAAGGCATGGGCCACGTGCTGTGAGGGAAATGGTGATGAGCAGGTAACTACTTCTGCTCTTGAAGGAACCTGGACCATATTGAGAAACACACCTGCACATGCACAACACAAGTGGGGAGAGTGAGCATGAACCCTGTTTAGGGATCAGAGAGTGAGCCAGGTGATTAAAACAAAGTGCTCCCTTGGAAGGTAGTGGGAAAGGAACCCGGAGACAGAGAAAGATGGAAACACCAAAGTGAGAAGTTGGATTTTGTACTGAGAATATTGGAGCACCATGGTGTGTGGCAGAGTGGGCAGAGGGCATAGTGAAAGTGTATTTCTGGGAGGCAAATGTGTGAACATAGGGAATCGATCTGACAGGACAAGTTGGAGAGTGGAGAGACCTGCTACAAAGATCTGGTAGTAAAATAGTATTAACATAGAAATACCATTTTATTTACATAGAAATAAAATAAGGCTATTTTATTTCTATGAGGTGAAATAGTATTAACATAGTAATACAAGTAAAAGGCAATTATTACTACTAGAGGCCCAATGCACGAAATTTGTACAAGGGGCTTGACCCTCGCAGCCCTGACTTCATCCAGAAGCTTGTCCAGATGTTTGTCCGGAAGGTTGTTCTGCTTTTCAGTCTAATTAGCATGTTAGCTCTTTATTATATAGGATTAATAGTGCTATGATATTGATAAGAAGTATTCCAGAACTCTTTCTGAATTGCCTTGAGATGTTTTATTCAAGATGGGTTTTGAATTCAATACTGTGCCTCTGGATATCAACAGGTATTTCAAAAATAAGCTGTGATCAAAATGTATTGAATTGAAGGAGGAAATAATAGCCACCTTCCAAGGTATTGTGAGCTATGGTGAAGGTTAAATGAGAAAATGGTATATGAAAAGGCCTGGCACACAGAACGCATTCCACAGAAACTGGTCCCCTTCTTCCAATATAATTGCTATTTATTGTAATAATATCCCCCATATCTATGCCTATATGAACCCATATCAATATCACCTAATATATAGGTGTGTGTGTATATGTGCAAACATACTTATGCATGTGTATATGGGTTTTCTCACATAGGCACATTCATATCCACATATCTAATCATACTCATATGAACATGCACATGTGCCACCTGAGTATACCTTCAATGTAGGATTAAACCTAAGGAGGAATGAAATACCCGCATATACCAACTTCAGTCCCTATGGCACTCTATCTAAGGCCGTGCCTAAGAGATGTGTGAAAGCTGATGCTATCCCTATGCTCTGCTTGGTAACAGTACCCATGGGTGCCACAGATGTGTCCTAGTGCCATCTAGTGGGAAATTCCATTTTCTGCCCCATAGTGCCTCCTTGTGCTGACTCCAGCCATTGCCCCCACTCACCATTCTTCAGACTGCTTCCATCACCCTAAAAAACAAAAGGGCTAAATGAGCTCCTCTGTGTTTCGGTTTAGACTCTTTCCTGTTTTCCTTCTGGGTGTTCCTGGACATGAGTACATCTCACTGAAATATTTCCACCTCTACCTAACAGACAAAGGAAAGACTCAGAGCACCTCAGTCCACTGTGCCAACAGGACGTGAATGACTGTGAGTACATAAATCATTTCTAAGTCCATGTCTTCAGGATCTAGAAGGAAAATTCTATATCGTATAATAAAACATTTTGTGTTCTCTAAATTTAGGAATACTTTATATATGTATAATTCTTTCTTTAGCTCAATGAGAACTTTGCCTCACAAAGAGATGCTATGGGCCAATCATTTCAAGGAGATGAGATGGTTTGGTTCTTCATTTATCTGTGAAGAAAGCCATGTTGGCTATAGAAACTGCTACACATCCATTAACCCATGGAACTCAATCCTAATTTTCTTTTGCTAGTGGATTTAATGCATCAAAAAGACTAAGAGCAGTGGAGAAAAAAACAGGTAATTAGAGCTGTGTCTATGTGGCCAATTCACTTTGCAAGTTCTTTAACCCATTCAAAATGTTAAAGGTCACTGAGAAACATGGTAGTGGATGAAATGAAGACTAAATGAGTAGGTTTAAATCTTACTGGTTGGTAAATTAGGCCAAAATAGCTAGTAAATAGTATTAAAAATCAGTTGAATCACTATCAGTATTCTATCAAAGTGATCAGTTAAATGGATCATCCTGTTCTGGCTGTCCATCTGACAACAAAGCATGTATAAGCTGTGGTGGAATAGGAATGCCAATCTAGGTCCTCTCTTGTTCCTCCCTTTGCCCAAGTTCTTTGCCCAGGGCCCTGGGACTTTGGGATTGGTTTGATTGCTTTTCCCCTGCTTCATGTCAGTTAGACAATTCTAGTGCTGAGCATGTTATCTATATGTTCCATAAATGTGGTAGAGCCTTCTGGCTAAGAGCCCCCACCTCGGGGATAAAAGAAAAGTGGAAGCAGAGAAAGGGTAAACATGAATAATAGAGAAAGACAATATGAGGTTTACTGCTGGCATGGATTTGGCCCGACTTTCCCACTGCTAAGTTAATGTCAGATGTTATGGAAGAAGACAGGAATTTAGACCAGAGGTAAGTCGGTTCTACTCTCTTTGTGTAAATGAGAATTGTATGAATTTACTCAACCTGACTCACATCGTGACAACATACCTGATTTGAAATGGTTGGGTTTGTTTTGGCAAAGGTTGAATGTCCCAGTTTGCCTTCCTGCTCCTTTGTTTAAAGGACAAGTGACGCTCATGCAACTATCTTGCCAGAAATCAGCATCTCGGCCTCTGGGTTGGGGAGATAGAGAAGGAAATGAAAGCACCGCATTTTTATTATGCTTGAAGTTACTTATTTGCAAAGTGGTTCTTCATCCACTTACTCTATCTGTTCTTGTCCATGGCTTCTCAGTTCTGCTGTCTTTGTTGCAGGGGTACATGTTGTATGTAATATTGCTTGCCACTGTTTAGTAATCATTGTGACTACATTGCTCTTTATCGATAATTTCATGTAGCACAATCCATCACCATGTTGGATGTTGGGGCAGGGAGAAGGGCATTACTTTGTCTTTCACTGGGTGTGCAGACAGCTCTTGTATAGATTGCTAGACTCTCATGTTCATTAGTTGATGATTTGCACTTTTTCTGTATTGTGTTTATCCAGATTGTATTTCAGATGTGTCTGCAACATATCGTCAGGAACAACAAACATTTATTGAACACTTGTGGGCTGTGGATCAGGCTCCAGGCTAGGTCTTTGGGATAATAAGGGGAATTTAATGTAATCCCTATCCTGGGGAATTTTATTATCCATTTGACTATGTTGGTTTTGTGATTAAAAAAAAAAAAGATACCTAACGGCTTATGCTGAGTGATTGCTGCAAGCAATAAATGCTCTTGGAGTTTGGATAAGGGAGTGATGGGTGAGGGCTGGACTGGTCAGGGAAGGCTTCATGAAATGCGAGTAGCTTCTTAAAGGACGGGAAGGGTATTTTTATGGGATACTGCATATAGAGTTTCTGAATACCATTGTGTCAGATTAAAAAAAAATGTAATGCCTATGTCTTTAAACTGCAATTGCCTCATTAATTATTTATGAGCCAAGACAGAGAATCAATATTCACCTGCTTTCCACAGTGTTTTTTTTGCAGAGTTCTATTGTTAACAGCCTTGCACACCTCGTCATACACGGCAAGAAAAAGCCAGGCAGTCTGTTCACTTTCTCATTAAGACTTCCCTGGTCTAGTTGCCAACTTTTCAGATTGTCTTTTGTTTTGTATAGAATCTTCCCCCCACTGGAAGCTCCAACAAGAAAAAAAAAAGTATATTCCATGACTACTTAAAGCAAAGTGGGTTTCAAGCAAAGAGAATAGAAAAGAAAAAAATGTGACTTTCTTGTCAAAATTGCCTCACTGAACCTTCAGGAGAATGTAGGCTTGACCCTGGAGACGATATCTATTCCCCAGGGGAAATCTCCATTTATGAGAGGTTCTAGGAGTTTCTGTTCTAAGAGAGATGTTCAAGCATTTTTGAAGATTGAAAACTTTGCTTATTACTTTTGCAGAACTCTATTGGTCCAGGTAGATATTTATCTCGGTTGATTGACAGAAAGGTTGGCAGGAAGACTGTCATGGCCAGCAGTGTTCATATTCTAGGGACTAAACCCTGTGACTTCATAATACCCATGATTTTTCCAGAACTCACTCACTTTCTCTCTCTCTCTCTCTCTCTCTCTCTCTCTCTCTCTCTCTCTCTCTCTCTCTCTCTCTCTTTCCCCTCTCTCTCTCTCTCTCTCTCTCTCTCTCTCTCTCTCTCTCTCTCTCTCTCTCCTCTCATTTCTCTTATGTTATTCTTTTTGTAAAAAATAAAATCTTTCTGTTTTAGAATTCATTTTGACTTTGGTGGAATAATATGCAAAGAGAATATGAAATTTGCATTTTCTTCCTTTTGGTTCTTCGTGTAGCATATATTTAGGGGCACCTAATACGCACAGAGCACACAGCATGCCACATATCTCAGATTACAATCTACTTATTAAAAAAACAAGTTAAAGTGGTGAATATTAACACACTTTAAGTTAAATGGGCCAAAAATGAAAATAGAAAGATACATTTGATTTTTATATTTACCAATTTCAATTTTCTTGGTCCTACCAATTTAAATTTTCCAGTTAAAGGCAATTAAATATTTTTCCTTTTAGAATAGTTTCTTAGGTGTAAGTTGGTCTAACTTAGACAATATTTCATAGCTTTGAAGTATAAACACTCAATCAGGGATATTTCCCTTTAAGAAGCGCCTCTATGTTCCTTCCCATGATGGTTGGATGCATGACATGCCCTCCAGTGGTAAGGCAGGCTGCCCTATGTGCTATTCTCCCTGCCGTCCACCAGAGAGAGGCTGGGCGAGTTTGTTTCCTGAACACTTTGTACTGGTATCTTCCACATGACTAATCTCACCTCCTGCTGTTGTTGTTGTGGGTCTTATGCTTCTCACACCATCAATATATCAATATATAGTAATCAAATACTAGTAGCATGTCTGTTGGAGAGGTCCTGCATTTGTTACCCTTCCCATCTGATTCAGGATTTTAGGGGCTCAGCACCTCTGTGAGTCCACAGAGAATTTAAGAGACCCCCTATATGCAATACATTCATCATGTGGGATCAGAGCTCTTGGTCTTATACTTTTCTAAGATTTCTCCTAACAATATGGGATGCAGCGGAGCAGAGCAGCAGCCTGGGGGTTCCAGAAAACTTAGTCTAGTTTTTCATTTAAGTAACTCCCACCCAAGAAAGCCCAGGTTTTTCAGATTCTCAGAGACCCTGACTCTATTCTTACCCTGGGGGCATCCACACAAAATCTCTTCCTTGCCTGGGAATGCTTTCTCCTCATCTTACCTGGTGTCTATTCTGTGATAATCTGTGAGTTGGGTAAAATTCTACCATTGACTTTGCCAAGCTTGGCTTCGGATCTGATAAGGGGAGCTTTTGGAATTTAGAAAACCCTTTCACTTTTGACCACACCTGGCTTTCAAAACCTTTCTGTACTATGGACTCGAAATCCAGTTTTTCCCTTTTTTCTTTTATTCCTACTTTAAAGATCCAAATCATCCCCAATCAATGGATGCCTCTAACCAGAGAGGGGGAGTACATAAAAATACATACAAATAGACATTAGCCACTTTACAATGTCTGCTTAAAACTGTAAGGGTCCAGACTCTGAATAGTTCCTAGAGTGCAATTGTAGGAAGAGTTCAAAAGTTCAACCACAGTGAGTTGGATACAAGCAGGGATGGATGGCTTCTCAAAGGCAGTGGGGCTTGGTCTGACTCTCAAGAATGGGAGAATCAAGGTGGGTGTGAAGAATAAGGAATAGATCCATAATTAGACTCAAAATCATCTTCCTCCATACTCCCAGAGCTGTGTATTTTAACTCGCACACATCTCTCAGAGCACAGTTATTGCTGCCTCCAATTTACTCATGGCTGTGTCTTCCTGTAACGCTATAAACTCCTAGAGCACAGGGACCAAAACATTCTATATTTGAGCCACCTAATGTGGCTCAGTGGTTGAGCATTGACCTATGAACCACGAATTTATGGTTCAAATCCTGGTCAGGACACGTGCCCAGGTTGTGGGCTCAATCCCCAGTGTGAAGTGTGCGGGAGGCAGCCAATATATGATTCTCTCTCATCATTGATGTTTCTATCTCTCTATTCCTCTCCTTTCCTCCTGAAATCAGTTAAATACATAAATAAACTTTCTATATTTGTATCTCTAATATCACTTAGCCTTGTGCTTATATGCATCAGACATTTATGTATATTTAAAATTTAACAACATGTTAAAAATAGAACTTTTAAATTATTTTACCTTAGCTCTCCCGTTTAAAACTGCTGTATTGCTTTAGCTCTTGTATTAAAGAAGAATAATTTCAGAAAGGACATCTGAATAGAGATTTTATATTCTTCAAAAGCTGGTTACTCAGATACTCCTTTATCTTCCTGACATCCCACCATCCTATCTATGGGATTTCCATATGATAGTTGCCCAAGATGTCATTTTTATATGTCATTATTAAAATATACATAATATGAAACTGACCATTTTAACCATTTTTAGTGTACACATG